GAGCACGAGTGGGAGGGAGAGGGAGAGAGAATCTCTAGCAGATTCCACGCTGAGTGTGAAGCCCGAGGCAAGGCTCAATCCCAGGACCCTGAGATCATGACCTGAGCCTGTCAGAGACTTAACAGACTGCAGGTCCCCTCAACTCTGCCACTTAATAGCTGCATGATCTTGAGTAAGTTACTTAACCTCTCTTTGCCTTAATTTTTTCACCTGTAAATTGGGGTGATGGATAATAGTCCTTACCTTTTGATTCAATACTGGTCTTTAGGGATAATTGGGAAGGAAAAAGGAAAAGATTTTCCTGAGAACTGTATTTAACCGTCAGTAAACCTTTTTCTTTACATTTTTTTAAACTACAGGGACATGGAAAACGTTTTAGTCTGTTACTCTGCACTGGAACTCTCCAAAAGGGGACTAGAATGTACAGCTGTGAGTTATGAGACAGCTAGTTATGAGACAAAACCCATCAACTAATCCCTGCTAGGTGCTTACAATAGCGGCGGGCACATAATTACTGCTACAGCCGTTCTCCCTTATCCAGGGTTTCACTTGCCTTGGGATCAGTTACCGGTGGTCTGGAGACAGACGATCCTCCCAATGAATCAGCCCAAGGCCAAAGGTAACCTAAGGCTCCATCACAAGGCCTAAGTCGTTCACATCAATTCATCTCATCAAGGAGGCATTTTATCATCTCACACCATTAATCAAGAAGAAAGGTGAGTACCGTACGGTGAGTTTTTTCAAGAGAGACACCATGTTCTCAGAACTTTTGTTATAGTATATTGTTAATAATTGTTTTCAGTGATTAGTTATTGTTGTTAATCTACTGTGCCTCGTTTAGAAATTAAACTTGAGGTATATATGTGTAGGAAAGAACATAATATACATAGGGGTTGGTATTATCCACCGTTTCAGGCAGCCACTGAGGGTCTTGGAACATATCCCCACAGATAAGGGGAGACTACTGTATTATTATTAATCCCCTCCCCAGCTCCTACCCCAACATTTGGCCCTTTAGGCAGTGATTGTATGAGCTATGACTGCCCTAAACAACTGAAAAAGATAGAGCGGATATATATCTTTTAATGTGCAGGTAGGAAGGCTCTCCCCAAATGCACACAGCTAGAAGTCAGACTTGTTAGTGGTAAGTAATCACTTTGAGAACCCCAGCCCATACACTTCCCCAGGGCAAACCACCTCCTTTCCCAACATTATTTTCATGTAAGGGGAAAATAAACATTTAAAGATAGCTGGGAAGAATCAGGGCTCCGTATAAGGATATAAACTGATGCCTGTCGTTACCAGATGCCAAATCCCAGAAAGGACTATCTCTGAAACAAGTTTTTAAACAGTACAAAGCAAATTGTCAGTTGGGGGAGGGGAGAATGAAGATTTTTAGGCCACTATTTTCTATTAAGCATTGCAGAGAGAGAGAGAGAAAAGACAGAGAAGGAGGCTGTGGTCTGTACTAAAAAGGAATTAAAATAAAAAGCAGACTCCAGAATCCTGGGCAAAGAAGACCTTGTCTTAATCTCAGTTCTGTCACGGACAGTCTGCGAAATGAACTTGGCTGAAACCCTCAACCTCCGGGGCTTTGGTTTCCTCACCTGGAAAATGAGGGCATTAACCAGATGATCTCTAAGATTTCTTACAGCTCAGACATCCTGACTTTACGACATAAAGTAGATGTTAGATGTTATATTCAGCAGGCAACAGAAGCCAAGTCTGGAAAGTTAAGCAGGAAAAGGATCTTTGCAAAGATATTATTGGTAGCTCACAGAATCATAGGGAAGGCTGGAGAACCAGTCTCAGAACCAAGGCAGTTTGGTGGGAGTTCGGGGTGTACTGGGGCGTCTAAAAGCTGGAATGACTCAACTCTGCTGCTGGAATGAATAAGCCCAAGTCGGTTTTTTTCCACCCATATGTCATTGTACCTGTAAATCAAAGTCCTGACATGGAGGGTCAAATTGGTTTAGCTCTGGCCACATGTCACCCCTTGGCTGATGGGCAAGAAACTTTGATTTACAGTCCCATCAAGACATCATTCCATGGGTGAGAGGTAATTTCCCTAAGAGGAAATTGGCATAAGGTATGAAAGAAAGATCATGACTACTATGTGGCTCTTCACTACGGATGTTGTGCCTGCTCTTGTAATAAATATCACACCCTGATATCACTCTTCCGTGTGAAAACAGATGGGCTATTTTTACAGTCCATCTGAAAATAAATAAAACTTTGCAGGGAGATTATGACACCATGACAACTTTGCATACCCTCTTCGCGAAAGTTTGGGCAACAACACATGCTTGAAGAATAGCCTTAGCACGTTACAGGAGATTGTTCTGGGGGAGAAACCAAGCCTTGGTTTTATTTTCAGCCAGTTTCTCTCTGCACATTTCCTTGGAATTGAGGAGGCACGTGCCCAGAGGCACCTGCCAGTCTTCCTCCTCTTCCATATTTGCAGAGCCCTGTTTTGATTCTGATGGTCAGTTCCTCTCCCCTCCTTAAGAACCAGGCAAATCTGGATACTTCTAAATTTGTCACGATGGTCCCATACCCCCCTGTCATTGGTTGGTTTAAGAGCATGTCCATGATCCAATTCTAGATGCTCTGACATGAGGAGAAATCTGGGAAGGCTTCTTATAAAGGTTTCTTTACTCTTAAAAAGGACATTGTGGGCTGAGCATGTGATGATTGCTGGCGCTCTGGCACCACCATTTCATCTCTTCTTGGAACCACAAGAGGGAACCCCTGAAGACAAAAGTCAGATGATGGCAGAGAGGAAAGTTGGGGGAAAACCTGGGTGCATTTGGTAGGAGGTCTTGAATTCACCAATTCTGGAAGCATTCTCTTCAGAATTCCTGTTAGGTAAGACAATACATCTTATCATTTAAGGCATTTTGACTTGGGTCTGTTATTATTTACAGATGAAAGTATCTCAACTGATAGCCCACAAAATGATTTTCTTCCAGTAAGCAGCCATGTTAAATCCATATTTCCCTCTGGGAACAGCCTTAACTCTCAGGAAGGAAAATAACTCATCCAGAGGATTTTGTGAAGTGTATTTTTACCAAAATGTCCTGATTTTCCCCTTCCCATGCATGTACACTTCATCTTGTCCTTCAAATCACAGGAACGTCTAGACTATTTTGTCTTAACTAAAGTACATGATTTCCAGTTCACAGAGGGGTTTCTAAACCCAGCCAAAGATTTGGTTGTCATACCTCTAGGTTAATTGATAACATACATTATTTAGATTTTAAAAATATAAGACCTTCCTTCCACTCATTGTCCTAAGATCACCACCCATCAGAATAGCACCAATAGTTAGGGATGATTATGAAAGATGTAGACAGAAAAGAGAAGTAAAATAAAAAAGAAACAGGGAAGCAAGCAATCAAAGTCAAGTTATGAGAATAAATTGACAAAAAATTGAGCCCAAGTCTTTACTCTACCATGTTTTACATGAAGGGAAAGAAGTATAGTTGGGAGAGCAAAAGAGAGAAGCTATCTACTGAAAGAGGAAGAAAGGAAAATGCAATTCATATGATATTTGTCTTTTGTAAAATTTGATTTTATTAAGTATAGAGTAGGTACAAAAGCATTTTTGAGACACATCAACCTGAATCCACATATCACTCCTGAGACCATAGGCAAATTGGTGAGGTTCTTAGGGACAATGACACCTGTCTACAGGAGTCATTATAAGGAAGAAGTGAAACTCTACAGGGCATGTGCCTGATGTACAGGGGGCTCAGTAAATGGTTTTGTTCCAACAAATATGTATTAAGAAGCTTCTGTGAACCAAGCATCATACCAGCTGCCAGGAATATTATGGTGAGCAGAATCAGTCTAGAAAGGGGAACAGAATTAATTAATAACCATAAAAATAAGTATAAATAACAGATATGAAAAGGGCTATGGGGGCTGAGAAAGTGTATACTTGGGAAGTTTGACCTCTTCTGAAAGATCAAGAAAAACCATCTTCAGTGCAGCTTACACCCACTTTCTTGAAAAGCTTACCCTGCTTACCCCGAACCAGATATGACTCACTGGCCTGTGAATTCTCAGAAAGAAGCGTGAAGCCTGTACGTGACATTTATCTTATCCTACTGTGTCTAGCATTATCACTAGTAGTATGCATGCCCTGTCTCCTCTACCAGATTATAGACTCTTTGGAGGCAGACAGCAGGCCATCTACAATGTTCTATTGCTTCACACTATCTATTAAAGTCTATTATTTCAATAAATAAGTGAAATTAGCTTCCAGAGAGCTGCCACAATTTAACAGAATTTGAAGCTTAATTTATGCCTTTTGTAAGCCAAGTTCCCACCGATTTTCAAGTCATTTGTCTGAACATAATAGGCAATGTGCAAGGAAACAATAATTTGGCCTCTCAGAAATTGTATAATATCCATCCCTCATGGAGTGTGATACCCCTAAACTCCTGCTGAATAATCCCAGACCTGAGCCTGACTCACCTATTAATCAAGTTCACAGAGACAATAAAAAGTGAGACTATTAGAATTCCATTTGCCAAATCTTCAATCCCTAAATGTTATGGTTAGAATCTCAGTTTGTGATCTAGCAAAAAGAAAGAAAAGAAGAAGAGTACCAGAAAAAACCTCTTTGTGCTGAATCATTCATTCCAGTTAGGTTGCTTAATAGTAAATCTGACCCTGCAGTTAAACTCTAGAAATCTGCTCAGACAAGCAAGTGTAACCTTATAATGATGCCAGGAGATTAAATTCCACCTTAACTCTGGAAAGATATTTTTATATTTTTCAATGTTGAGAGATGCCCTCTTGTCTATATGTGCTTTTATTGTAATTAATAACTATAATTACTCTTGACATCAGTGATAGCTCTGAAAAATACAAACACCAAGAAGAATCAGAAGAAACATTTTGCTACTAGATTTAAATACTCGTTTCATTTAGTATTTCACTTAAATTCATTTTATTTTGGTATCTTTGAAATTTTTTAAAACATCCTCAGTGCCAAAAGGAGGCAACATTTATAAATCCAAACAAATGTATAAACGAACAACCCAGGCCCTCTTAAGTAATTTGCCAAATAGAAACAATCCATCTGTATAGGAAAACCCATCAAATTAGAATCTGCAATGTGGGCAAATGAGAGAAAAGATTTTCATCCTTGACCCTGGTTTTAGTTCCTTTCAAAATCAAAATCTTGGGGCCACTGTAAGCTGTATAAAGACAGATAAGCAAAGACAGTGAGCATTCCCTTGTTGTTTCCATGGGTTTCATCAGCTTGTTTTCCATGACTCATGATGGCTTCCTGAAAAAACTCTCATTTCTTTGATCTCATGGGTCAAATGAATGCTCTTGAGCCAGTTTTCATCAACCAGTCAGCATTCCTACTGTTTCCTATTGTGAATCCTCAGCTGGACTCATATATTTACTAGTTAGCTCATTCCCAAAATGAGGTTATGAGTATTCTTCAAAAGGGTTCAGTCCAAATGGTCCAGAGGAATTCAGAAGGATACCCTGAAGATTGAAGAAAAAAAAGACAAATATTATTACCACAAAAATGTTAAGTATTACCTGAAAAGAATTAGTGGAGAATAATTTTTTTAAATCATTTATTAAAACTGTGTGTTATAAGAATACCAAAAAACTTCCCAATATCACTTTTTTTAAGATTTTATTTTTTTGTGAGAGAGAGAGCATAAGAGAGTGAGCATGAGTGGGGGGAGGGGCAGAGGAAGAAGCTGACTCCCCACTCAGCAGGGAGCCTGATGCCGGGCTTCATCCCAGGAGCTGGGGATCTTGATCTGAGCCAAAGGCAGATGCTTAGCCAACTGAGCCACCCAGGCGCTCCCCAATATCACTGATTAAGAGCTCTTTCCAATCCTGTGTTAGGCAATAGAGCCTCCGTTATAAACCTAGGAAGACTCTGTGGTTAGTGGTTACAAACTTCTCAGCCTAGGACCCAGGAAACATAGGGTCTCCTCGAGCTTCTGTCACTACAGTATGTTTGGGTTAATTTCCTTTTCTATAAATGAAAGTGTAAGTGTTCATGCAAATTTCTTTTAAAGAGATGTAGAAGTTGGGATTTAATCATCCACTCAACATATACTTACTGAACACCTACTAAATGCTAGGCAGCGTTTCCTCTGAATGAGGGGGTCTCTCCGTTATGCTCCCTGAGTCCCCTGTGAATACCTCTATCATGTTATTGGCTCTCTATTGGAATTAAGATTCCTCAATCTGATTTCTCCACTGACTGCATGTTATTTTGCCAATGAGTAGCAGAATTCTGGACATACAGTAAGTGCTCAAAAAACATTAGGTGAATGAGCAAAGGGGATCTCTTCATATGCAAGGTCAAGCATCCCAGAATGAGGAGGACCAGAATGAGAGGTATCAAGCACAATATTTCATTAAAACAACTCTATGATTACATTAGTCTACCTAGCAATTTCTGAGCCAATAGCAGACTCTGATTCCACTAAGACCCAAACACTAAGGCCTGCTTCTCTCTAGTCCTGAACACAAATATATCCTTAGCACTTAGTTTCCAGTTTGACATATTGAGCCACCTATGCTTGATCCCTTTGCTTCTCTAGATCTGCACTCCATTTTTTTCCCCACCCTGCTTGGTACCCTGGGAGGCCAATCTGTATGAACTGCCTCAATCCAGCTCCAGTGTCCTCGCTCTGTTTGGGTTTGACCAATGGTAAGTACTGGCACATCGGGGAAAGAGAACAGCCAAAGTGAAATATTCTCTCTTCAGGGCAATCACAGGCTGTTGTCACTTGACTAAAAGTCACAGTCCCTATCAGGTAGCTCTCCCAACATAGTCCATCAGTGTGTGTGTGTGTGTGTGTGTGTGTGTGTCTGCCTGCCTGCCTGCCTTTGTCTCTGTCTCTCTGGGCTCCTTGCTCCTTTAGTCTTAGGGACAGTAGCAGAGCCTCACTGTTACTAGTTTGAGGGTGCTGCACTCTCCTTTTGGATTTTTCCACAACCTGACTTAATAGACCTTTTATTAAACTCACCTCAAATGATTGATTCCATTTGAGTATACTATTAGTTTCCTGCTAGAATCTTGACTGATAACTACCTAGGTATCATGTATCATGAAGTGGTATACACACACTGGAATATTACTCAGCCGTAAAAAAAAAAAAAAGAATGAAATCTTGCCATTTGCGTGGCATGGATGGAGTTAGAGAGTATTGTTAAGTGAAATAAGTCAAAGACATATTTTGTCTTTCAGAGAAAGACAAATACCATATGATTTCACTCATATGTGGAATTTAAGAAACAGAACAAACAAATATGGGGGGAGAAAAGAGAGGCAAACCAAGAAAGAGACTCTTAACTTTAGAGAACAAAGTTGGTGGCCAGAGGGGAGGTAGGTTGGGGGGATGGGGGAAATCGTGAAGGGGATTAAGGAGGGCACTTGTGATGAGCACCAGGTATTGTACGTAAGTTTTGAATCACTAAATTCTACACCTGAAACTGAAAAAAAAAATAAAGACAGGTAAATGATCTAGCCTATCACCATGAAGCACAATAAAAGGATACTGATAAATGCTAGTGTCTCCCCTCTTCTCTAATTTTTATACCTCCTACAATAGCTATCTATAGTGCCTTAACATAATAGCTACTTAATAAATATGTGTTGAATGAATGAAAAATATTTCTAAGACACTTCTGACCACAGTTTGGGATTTAAGTACATGAAAATCAATGCACATTAATTAGATGTTACATTGAGGGAAGTTCTTAATTTCAGTAATTGAGGGTCAGTGGTTGTTCTGCTTATAAATTCACATTCTCTCTCCTCTCATGTTCCGACTGAAACAACGATTGCTCTGCTGGGATTATGTATGACCCAACCCGAGGAAACAGCCAAGGGCTAAGCTGACATCTCAGGGGCACATGCTGTTTAACAGACTAAGAGATTCGTTTTTTGGTCCTTCTTAGACCTTGGAAGAAATAGTGATTTTATTTCATGTCATCTAATTCACATGAACTGCTTTTGCAAGTTCATTACTTTTTGTCTCCTACTCCCAGATAGAAATGAAGGTTGGGGTAAATTGTACCTCCTTGGATCTTTCACGTTTATAATGAACAAAGGTAAATCATCAGTAAAGCCGAATCATCACTCACCGTGTATACTGATCTTGCAGATGCACCGTGGAAGTAACTTCTAGTTCCGGTATTGGGGGAAGCACTTTCTTGACCTGAGTCAAGGGCACCCTCTGCTTGGTCTCTATTTTTTAAGAAGGAGAACTGTTCTAGTCTGTGTTTAGTCAATAGCAATGCAAAAACAGATAACAACATTTTCCAACGTGCGAAGAGAACAATGCCCTCCATCTAGCAAGGATATTGGCAGTTTCCATCACTCCCTAAATTTCCTGCCTACAACTGTGACACCGTTAACCCATTTCTCTTAATTCTGTTTCTTTCATTTCTCCTCTCCCCCCACTTCCTGAGCTCTAGACCTGATGCATAGTTACAGGAGCAAAGTAGAGAAAAACACTTTTTACATGCAATACCAAGTAGAAAGAAAAGAACTTTAGTATGGAAACTGACTGCAAATATTTTCTTCTTTGCATTTTGTTAAAATAGGTCCCTAAGAATTTTTATTAATACCATCTTTGATTTCAGGGAGAATTTTACCAAGAAGCCAAGTTCCAAATCAGATGGATTCTAATCTGTCCTCCTTTTCTAGGACTATGTGACATCAAATCCTTCTAATATTATCTGCAGCTGACTTCAAGGTAGGAGATGAAATTTCAGGCCCATGGCATATGGTGTCTCTTTCATTCCACTGGGATCTGGGGCCTTACTTTTCTAGTTTTTATATTGAAACTTGAGTTTTACATAATACATGTGGTTTTTGCTTCACAGATGTCTCTACTTTTTATACAAAGCCTTGGACATGAATGGAAATGAGGTGACCTATAATTTAAAGAGAAGTTTGAGTAGCTGCTTCTTAAGAAGACAAATCAAAAAGGAAGATTTAAGTGTAATCAAGATTATGATGCTTATCAAAATTTTTTTTAATTTTTAAAAATTTCTACGTGCATTAATAAAAAGAATATCATGCTTCTTATTCATGAAGATGATGAAACACTGGCGTTGATTATCAAAAGAGAAATACTGTCAAACCATCCCTCAGAGTTATATTCTTTTAATTAGAAAAAAATTTAATAAAAAAGACATTTTTGGACTTAATTTTCTGAATAAAAGATACATTCACATGATTAAAATTTTATAAACTATGAAGCGATATTCAAAATGTCTCCCTCTTACCCCATTTCCTACAGACAACTGCTTTCTACCACATCACATAATTCTTTCCCTTCTCTCCTTCCTTTGCCACAAACAAGGTTTTCAGATTTTTGTGGATAGAAGTATAGATGATAGATAGATTTATACACGTATATGTACACATGTCGTTTTTGTCTTTCTTTACACAATTGGTAGCATACTATACATATATATGTATGTATATTTAATGGTCTAAGAGATCTTTCCCCGTAAATGCTCCCTCATTCTTTTTTACAATTTCCTGGTATTCCATAGTATGGATGTATCATCCTGTCTTCAAACACCCTCCTATTAGATTGTGTCTAATCTCATATTGCAAACACCCTAGCAATAAACATTGCACATACGTTATTTCTCTCCTATGTAAGTAATCCAGAGGAGAAATTCCTAGAAATAGAATTGCTGGCTCAAAGGGCTTATGCATGTGTAACTGTGATAGTTATCACCAAATTTCATATCACAGAAGTTGTACCACTTTAGCCTCCCTGTTTACCTTAGCAAAGCATGAGAGTGCAGAGGGCCTATCGCCCCTTGCTACAGAGTGTGATGGCAAACTTCTGGATTTTTACCAGTCTGGTAGATGAAAATGGCACTTCAGTGTAGCCTTAATTTGCATTTCCACCTGAACGTAAGCTCAGTGAGACCAGAGATCTCTGTTTGGCTCATTGCTGTGTCTCCTATACCCAGAAGGCCAATATTATTGGAACATAGTAGACATCAAAAGAAAAATTTCTTTTGGGAGAATTTATTGTGAATGAGACTAAACAAGCTTTCATATGTTTAAGAGCCATTTGTATTTCCATTTCTATAAACAGTCCATTTATATCCTTTACCCATTTGTCTACTGGGTTATGGTCTTCTCTCCATCAATTATTAGAACTTCCTTATTTACTAGGAAATGTTGCTTATCATATGTGATGAATTGCAAACAACTTTTCCCTAATGGTTTTTACTGTGTACATTCTTTTTCATGTAGTCAAATTTATCAGCCTTTTAACTGAAATTTGTGTCATGGATAGAAAGCCCTACTTTGTGGTTATAAATTAATTCTACCGTTGTTTCTTCTATTACTTTTATGCTTTCATGTTTACATTAAAATTATTGACTCATTTGAAATTTACCTTAGTATTAGTGTGAACTCTGGATTAAGGTAATCTTCTTTCCTAGATGATTATTCAGTTGTCCCAATACCATTCATTCAATAATCCTTCTCTTTCCTACTGATTAGATATGCCTCTCTCATCATTTACTCAAGTCCTAAACTTTCTAATTTTCACAACCTGAGCCAAAATCAAGAGTTAGACGCTTAACTGCCTGCACCACCCAGGTGCCCCTCATTAGATATTTTCATCTACTTAAGTACCAGTACCATGGTGGAACGGATACCTCTCCTCTTTCTTCTTCTATGTCAATTTTTTCTGGCTATTAGTGACAGCTTATTTTTCATCAGGATATTAAAATGACCTTGTTCATGATTTAGGAAGAACTCATAACTTTATATATTCATCTTTCTATTCAAGAACATGATATACCATTTCATTGTTGTTCAAGTCATTTTTATGACTCTCAGGAGAATTTTTCTGAAGTTTTCTTCAGAAAGATCTTGTGTAGTTCTTTATATTAATTTTATTCCTAGTTATTTTATCTTTTTATGGTTATTTTAAATGCAGCAGTATCTTCTAACTGGTTGTTATTTAAAGATATGAATGCTGGGGTTAAGAGACTCTTATCTCAGGAAACAAACTGAGGATTGCTGGAGTGGAGGCGGGTGGGAGGGATGGGGTGGCTGGGTGATGGACATTGGGGAGGATATGTACTATGGTGAGCGCTGTGAATTGTGTAAGACTGATGAATCACAGACCTGTACCCCTGAAACAAATAATACAGTATATGTTAATAAAAAAAGATCACTATATTCTCTTTGCATTTAACTATTATAAGAAAAAGAATAAATATTAAGGAAAATATTAAATATTGAAATTATTAAAACCCTCAAATAAAATATTTTTAAATTATTTAAAAAAAAAAGATATGAATGCTGGGGCACCTGGGTGGCTCAGTCCGTTAAGCATCTGCCTTTGGCTCGGGTCATGGTCCCAGGGTCCTGGGATGGAGCCCCGCATCGGGCTCCCTGCTCCGCAGGAAGCCTGCTTCTCCCTCTCCCACTCCCCCTGCTTGTGTTCCCTTTCTAGCAGTCTCTCTCTCTCTCTGTCAAATAAATAAATAAAATCTTAAAAAAATATATAAAGATATGAATGCTATTGATTTTTTGTCTTAATTTCATACCTTGTCTCTTACTGAATTTTATTTTTAAAGAATTTTTTTAGAGAATTTTCTTAAATTTTCCAGGTACACAAAGTGATCATTTTCCCTTTCCAATTTATTTATTTATTTTTTTAAAGAGTGGGAGAGGGAGAGGGAGAAGCAGGCTTCCTGCCGAGCAGGGAGCCTGATGCTGGCCTCGATCCCAGGACCCTGGGATCATGACCTGAGCCAAAGGCAGACGCTTAACGACTGGGCCACCCAGGCGCCCCTCCCTTTCCAATTTGTCAACCAGATATCTTTGTCTCTTACCTAATTGTGTTGACCAGTACTTTCAGGACAATGGTAGGTAAAGTGGCAACAGTGAACATTCTTGAAAATTCCTGGCTTTACAGACATGCTTTTAGTGTCTCCCTAGTAAGTATGATTCTGGGGTTTTGTTTGAGACAGATATATGTTATCATGTTAAGGAAGTACCTATTTATCTTATTTTTATTAGGAGTTTTATGAAGAATGGGAATTATAGTTTATCAAGTGCATTTTTAGGATGTAGAGAGATAACCAAATTTTCCCTTTGATCTATTAATATGAGTGACATTAATAGATATCTCCTAATGGAGAACTGTTCCTATATTCTTGGAATAAGCTCCTCTTGGTCATAGTAGGAGTGTGTATATGTATGTATATATACATATATATTTTTATACTGTGATACTAGTGGATTCTTTTGCTAATATTTACTCAGAATTTTTGCGTAGATATACATGAGTAAGATTGCTCAATGATTTCATTTTAGACACAATCTTTCTTAGCTTTATATGTTATTAATGTTTATTTCACAATAGAATTAGGAAACATCCTTCTTTCCTTCTTTTCTATGGTCAATAACAGTTTAAATACAACTGGAAATATCAATGTTTTAGAGACTGGTAAAAATTCCCCTGTGAACTGTTCTTTCTGTTACTTTTTCAGGGATAACTGACAAATTTTCTATTTCTTCTATGATAATTGTTCTGTTTAGATTTTCTATTTCTTCTGGTATCAGGTTTTGTCAATTTTTCCAGAAAATTATCGATCTTAATTAGAGATGTTAAAAAGTAGCAAGTGCTCTTTAAGGAGCAGGAATAGATGCCTTTTGGGGACCATTTCCACAGACATTGAAGACCCTTCCATTTCTATGGAAATGCTAAAATAACCACCAAAGCTAGAATTTCTTCTTACAGAGAATTTGGCCTTCTAAACGGTAAGTGACAAAGCTTTCCTGACTGGTTAGGACAAAGGTGAGAAAATGAGACCAGTTTTTACCTGGACACAAAGCTCTCATCTCCTTGCTCTCCTCCTCACAGACCCATTGCACTGCCTCCCCTTAGCATCCTTTATTTTTACCTTATTGTCACTAAGTACAAACCGCATCTACGGGGCTAGTTCCCTCATCCCTATTTGTCTCACACTGAAAGTTCCTAGGAAGCTGGGATTTCGTCTTTCTAAATCTGTGCTTCTCAGAGGGTGGGTGTGGTAGGCAGAACTCTAAGACAGCCCCCCAGCTTCTCACCCCCTGGTGGAATGCCCCTTGTAATCCCCATCCCTTGAGCATGAGCAGGACCATGAATGGAATTTCCCTCCTGTGATTGGATTACATTATATGGCAAAGATGAGATTTTTGCAGGTGTATTGAGTTATTGAAAAGAGAGACCACTCTGGGTGTGCCTGACCTAATGAGGTAAAAGCCTTTACAAAAAAGACTGGGCCCTCCCGGAAGTTAGTGAGGATCTCTTGTGGGACTTCAAGAAGCAAATTGCCAAGCTGTGAACTGTCTCTAGAAAGGCCACGTAGCAGGAGTCTGCAGGTGGCCTCTAGGTCCTGAGGCAGTTTCTGGCAGACAGGCGGTGAGAACCCAGGGACCTTAGTATACAACCTCAAAGAAATTAATTCTGCCAACAACCTGAATGAGCTTAGGAGTAGAGCCTCCATATAAGAACATAGGCCAGCTTGCATCTTGATTTTATCCTTGTGAGACCCTGAGATCCAGCAAAGCTATGCCCAGATTTCTGACCCACAGAAACTGAAATAACAAAGGTGTGTTGTTTTAAGCCACTAAATTTGTGGTAATTTGTCACACAACAATAGAAAACAAAGTGATCAACGGACCCTTGGCCTGCAAACCATAAGAAGCTGAATTTAAAATGCAGGTTCTAGAACCCTGTCCCAAATCTACTGAATTATAATCTCCCTTCAAAATGGTCCAGGAGCCTGAGATTTTACAGACATCCAAGTTGATTCTGATGCACATTAAGCCTTCAGAATGAACTTACCAGGCAGATAATTGCTTAGACAATCTTTGACAAAGTATCTTATCATGTCCAGAATTTGAGATTTGGAGACAGTTTTTTTAAAGTTAAAATACCAAAAGAACCTTTTCATGAAATTAAATAATTACCAAAGAAAATTAACAGAGCTCTTTTGCTTAGAAAGCTAAACTGCTCATCATTTGCTTATTCATTTGGTTTGCTGATGTTGTATAATATGGTATAACCATAATTTACTACAGAAAGCTATTATCTGTCAAAGTGATGGTTAGTCCAAAATAACTCTCTAGTGGTGCATTATATTCTGTTTCTCCTAGTTTCCAAGGACATGTAACT